TTTACCTTTTCGAAGGTGTGCGTTTTAAACTTGCAGCTTCCTGTTCGCCCAGAACGTTACGCGCAGATGTTTCTGCTAAGATAATATCTCCGACGATGCTCTCTTTGGACGATTAGCAATATTGGCCTTTACGCGTTAAACGCCGAACTGGTTAGTTTCACAATATATTTTTATTTTATTTTTTTCGTATTTAAATGAATATCGCGATGATGTCCCGACTACGATTGACTTTATTGGTTTTGAATACTTCCGGCATATAAGTGTATCGAAAAATATGCATGTTGAAAAAGTCTCCATAACTTTTTTTTTCAAAGAAAGTTCCACAAGGCTACTGTAATACTTTTTACAAAACTTCTGGATTCCTCCTGCGTCGGTTTTTGCTGAGTCGAACTTGCTGACGTTTCGCCAATCATCCTGTTGGCTTCTTCAGAGCTTGCAAGTTCTATTTGAGATGCCAGGAGTTTACAAGCATTCCATGCATATGCGGCAAAGATTACATTGGAGAGACTGGACGAAAAATATCAACTAGGCTCAAAGAACGGGAAAGAGCCTTAAGGCCTCATCAGCAGTTGCCGAATACAATCAACCGGACATAACATTTTATTCGATAAAACTAAAATTCTTGCATGTAATCAATTCTCCTACCAATGAAAAATCAGAGAGTCTATAGAAATCTATAAACAACCAAACAATCTTAACCGCGACTCATCCGAGATGGTGTTTATGCCTCAAACAATACATAATACACAAACATAAATGCGAGCCAGTTTCAGTCAAGCTCTGAAGAAGCCAACAGGACGATTGGCGGAACGTTAGCTAGTTCGAGTACACAAAAACCGACGCAGGAGGAATCCAGAAGTTTTATAAAAAATATTATAGCAGCCTGTGGAAGTTTCTTTGAAAAATCATACATAGAACTGTTTATTTTTCATAAAAACTGGAAAAAACTGATTCACTTAGAGAGAGCCCTTATAAATGGACCGAAAGAATACATTGGAAAACAAAACTTTCCATTTCTTGAAGCTGTGGTAGTAAATAGAGTGTTTTAATAGGAAAAACCCATATCTGAACTAGATACAGCAAAATCGACTTTCGCGTCAGCCGAGATATAGGGCGTTTTTCAATTTTCGGCCCTTTTGGAAATTACTTTTTTATTTATGAACATTTTGGGTTCGAAATGCAGTGCCGTACTGAGATTTTTTCAACAGTTCTGAATTTTCTCATAAATGATTACAACTTTCTTATTTTATAGTTGGCTACTGCCTGAAAAAAATATCGATGTCGAGCACTTTCCAGGTACAAATAGACGGAATCTTTTCAAGACCATAGCCAACTGTGATTGCCGTATTAAATAAGGAAGTTGTATTCCATTAGTGGAAAACTGTCGAAAATTGCGGTTTTAACCATGAAATATTTCAAGAAAATCGTGCTTTTGACATGTAAGTCGATTTTTGAGGTTATTCCTCTCGAAACACTTCTATTACGACCATCCCGTATATTAATGAAGCTGTTGTTTACTACCAATAAGCAATCGTTTATTAATAAACCAAAATTATTATTTTTAAGCATATTTCTTCTTTTTCGCTAAGAACCTTACCTCAATTTTCCAGAAATTCCTATTAGTTTACTTACCAATAATAACAGCGATATTAACGTGCGATGGTAATTAGCACATAGACGATTAAAAAAATCGCCCAACGAGTACGAATGAAAAGCGTGGCTTGGCGGATATTTTTCCGGGTTTTTCGGTTCCCAGGACGTCCGCGTACCCCGGTCGGCTTGGGAACGACCGAAGAATTCGACGATTGCAAATTCCTGACGACTTTCCGCAGACAGTCGCGTTGTATTTTGCTGTCAGCGAGCGGTGACAAAAAAACGAGCCGCTCTCTGCCTCTGCTGTTTTATTTTCCTGCCAAGGTTAATTCAGAGCATCCTCCGGGTGAAATAGTGCCCTATCTGGCGTACTATCTTAACGGAGAGGGATTTAATGGTGCTTTTGCCAGTACACAATTGACGTTGAAAACGCGACCATTGAAGTTTGGGCGGACCGAATTACAATCCACGCAAGAGCACAGAACCTGATTTAGGTTAGGTTGCATGATCGCCGAAATTTCGAATGAGGCAGCTTTCGTAAAACCATGCTGACTTGGCAAATAATAGCAATGAGGTAAAACGCGTTTTTTTGCCGCGGACTTTACGATAGCGATTTTATTTTATCGACAATTATAAAACCGACAATTTGAAAACAATAGAACAATAGAAACAATTAGATAGTCGAATCTAACACTACGTTCAAGTGCAGACTCATAGGCTTCTGTGTATTCAGTTTTTCTGTTTTGAATTTAACTGAAACGGACGTTCTACAGTTATTTCGGTTGCATTGATTCCCATTAATTTAGGGCCTGTTCCTGTTGTTTATTCGAATTCTCGTAGGTTGTACCGTGCGTTCAATTTATCTTGATAATATTTTAATTTTCTGTAACCTTTTTGTTTTTAAAGATGTGAAGTTAAACAAAAAAAGTTTTTTCCAAGTGACGTATGAAACAAAACACTATCAATTTTCTGACATATACATAATGTATTTTTTAATGGAACATTGTGTATATTACATATGTGTTTAATAGAGTATCTTATTTCAATTTCAACACACTTTGTATTGTAAATCGGCCAAAATAGGAAAGTTTTATCTCAATCTCAAAGAGTGCCGTGACTGATTGCAACACAAATAATAATTTACAATAACACTAAAAATGACAAGACACCCTAAAGTAAAGAATTTTTATACTATTTTAAATAGTGCTGTATGTGACCACCATTTTCCTGAACACATTTCTCATAGACTCTAATTGTATGATGTCTTGCATTTAGTAACAAGTTCGGATTGTCTCTTAACTAATTGATTGCCCATGAAATCCTTAGCCGAAGTTCCACGACATTATTATAAGGAGTGCATTATTATTATTATAAGTTGATTATCTTAAGTCGGGGCTATTGGCTGGCGAATCCATAATTCCGCCGTTCCCTACCCAACCACTGGGATATTCCATGTTAAGAAATTTTTTAACTTGCACAACATTGTGAGGAGGGGCACCGTCTTCTATATATTGTTCTATTTGGTGCTCTAAAAGTTCCAAATAATGGTCTCCAGTTAACTTTTGATGTATAAATATCGGACGCAAAATATGTCCACCTAGGACACCACACCATGCATTAATTGACTGGTACCTCGGTTTTTTTTGTGCACTTGTCTAGGATTATTTAGAAACCAAAATCGGGTAGGCATTTTGTCTCTAACAACCTTTTCTTGTAGTGAACTTTCATCGGCCCATAAAACGTTTTTCAAAAAAATGTTATTCTCAGAATGTTTATTTAAAAAATCCAAATAAAACTGCATCCTCCTATGACACTTAGAAATAAAAAATGCATTGTATTTATGTTTTTTCAAGACTGAGTGGATTGATCCCCGAGAAATACCCGTCTCTTCACATACTCTAGCCTTATTTTCTTCATTTAAAAAGTGATAATTCCGGCATACCTTTTTAGCATTTAAAACGTTAACGTTTTTTGCAAGCTGCAGCTCGGCTCTCTGGTTAAAGTTTAATATGCTGCCGACGTTTTATTATTCAGAAAGTATACTTGAAGCATATTACTCCTATCACGGATGCTTAATTCGCAAAAAAACCATTTTAACAATAATGACTTGGACAATAATTCAACCATCAACGTTGTTTACTAATATGTCAAACATAAACATGTTTTTATTTGTCAATCGGTGCATTCTTAAAGAAGAAAATATCAATTGGATGCACAGAAGGTGGATTGATTACTCAGAAAATGATCTAAAATGTGAATTGTTAAAAATTGGCCAAAATTACAAAATAAAATGAACCATCAAGTTTTAAGATTGGCTCATCGAATTGGTGTGGGCTCGGTGCAAAATAGTTTTTAATAAAGCTCTCCAGACAGAAATTGGTATAAAAAAGCAGTAGAGCTGCTAGAATGCGTCACTTTTAGGAGAAAATATAAGCGGACATAGCGAAATGCTTCTTAGGTTAGGAATTGAAGGTGTGAAGTGTCGATTTTCCTCGAGATACATGAAACCCTTGCAGGTTCAGACCTGCCGGCCGCTTATTGTGCTTGAACAAATTTTAACCGACGACATACAATGCGAAATATGTATGTGAACAGGTTTTTGTGCGACCAAAAATATAGTGTATTTATTGCTTTGACGTTGTAAGTATTTTACAGCAGCTTAACCTCAAATTTTCGCTGGTAGGTCTTTCCTGAGATGGACCGTAACAAATATTTGTAGAAACTTGAAATTTTTATGTGAAACGTAAATGGACCGTTTTAAATTTCATTAAGCATTAATGCTGCGGGGCATTTATTTAAACATTAGGTGATATGTATTGTTCTTAACAGTTTAATATAAATTGCAATATGTTCGTATATATTGTGGTGATATTTGCGGTGACATTTGAATGTTATTCCCGAACTTTGACCCTACCATTCTGTTTTCTTTTTGTGTTTTTCTGTCTTCTACATAGTTCTTCAATTTGTAAACAACAGTCTTTTTTAAGATTACAGATTATATTCGCAGTAGATAAAGGTACATCGTACCACATTTTTTTGAAGGTTCCTGGTTTTTAGAAGAAGACATGGAAAACAACGCAATAAATTGTTACTTTGTACTAATTTTTTTATGTACGTGTACAAGGGTAAGGGTCTGCTCGGTAGGGTGTTCTATAAGGGCTGCGCTTTTGGAGTAATAAACAGTAGGCAAAGTTAATCACGGGGTCGGTTGTAAGAGCACTATATTTCCGGTTCAAGTATACCTCGACGTTGAAAGTTGGTGCCCAAAGCACTACACGCTGCTCGATCAACATCCCCGTCAGCAGGAGGACTTCCATGGGGTCCTAGAGAAGAGACTTGCTACCGCGTAGCGCGCGTCTGCGCCCTCGTAGAGCAGCACCGTTTCGTCTACACCACGTACGGCGTGTTACCTGAGTGCGAGCCAGTGCACAAGCCGGTGTCTCGCGTTTTCGGTCGGTAAAAGACTGTGCCGCGGTGATGATGGGGCCCATATCCTAACGTGTGTTAAGCTATGCACGCGGTTCTCGTGACCGTCTACCTTCTGCTCGTCACACCGTACACCACTTCCTGGTGGTAAGTACCCACCCCAGTCTCCTAATTCGATGTGCGCGAAGAGCATTCGCTTTAAACATTTCAAAATTGGAAAAAACGCTAACGGTTCGATCAAAACACGATACGTTTCTGCATCATCGGTGCTTTGTAATAAATCGTATGATACTACACGCATTTTTGAAACTAACACGTGCATGATTATTTTTACTAAGAACCATTTTCCAAACAGGGCAATGCTTGTATCTAAAGTGCTTTAAAAGATGGCAGAGATAATAAAATTATATATCAATATAATAGTTTCATTGGAACATTATTTTCATTTAGCATTATTGTTATTGTTTCCAACAGTTGGAGTAACATTTTTAACTTTGCCTGATCGATGCTTTGAAATAAATCGTTCACGTGCATTATGAACTATTGGTGATAAATATTTCGCCACCTTAGATAGCTTGCAAATGCGTTATGAAGAAGATATACATAGATGTTGATCACTTTAGATCTGAAGTTATTTTAAACCAACCTGTCGTCGCCTTATGAAACAATGATTAATTTTGGTTAGTTAGTTAAATTGTAATTTTCACTATTTTCGTTGATAGGAGATTTATTTTACATTTTAAAACAATGTTTTTTTGTAGTGTAAATTGTTGTTACTATAGGACTCATATATATGGTTATCGGAAAAATGTGATATTGAAATGAATTTTCCAGTGCTCTCGATAATGTCGATTTCACTCATTTAAAATTGCTACCTAATGGCGGTCTGTGAATCGGATGTCGGTTCCGTATTTCTGGATTTTTATTTTCCATTAACAAAAAACAATATATTTAATTGCTATACTTTGTTCCTCTACCTACCTATCTTGATTAAGCATGAGGATAAAGAAAAGTGAAAGAAGCGAAAAAAATTATTACTATTAATATATAATAATATATTAACATATTACACAATAGTATGCTACAATCGTTATGAATCCTTTCTCTTTGTTTCTTGTGTTCGCTCTTGAACTGAATAAGGAAAATTGTGGAATACACGCGCTTCAAAAACTTAGTTACCGTTGAGAACATAATATATAAAATCGAAAGTAACAAGTCCATATGTACTTTCTACTCGGCCCGAGGAAATGTGCGCAAACGTTGTGAAAATTTTTATTTTTCTTAATTAAACTGAAAGGTTTTGCTCATTATCACCAATACGAAGTTGAATCATGGGGTTTATGTAATCGGTTAATTGTAATATTTCGTAAATTACGTTGCAAGTTTACAATGGATAATTGCCGTAATTATAATTTTTTTTATGCGATTAAATTGAACTTTTGATTTGGCTGAATTCAATTTGATATGGAGACATCAATTATGGTTAAGGAGAGCTGACTAAAATGTGTAAATATTGGAAAAGTTAAAATAAATCTCTAAGTATTAAAAATGAAAAACGTTGTAAGTTTTTGTAAAATCTTTCACAACAAATAATAATCTATAGGATGTGTCATTTAAGAAAATCGAGGTTTTTCAATTTAAAATGATCCAACTATTTCGATTATTTTGAACACCCTATAACATGTAATTCGAATTCCGTTACGTATATCTTTTAAGTCAACATCGAATATGAGTGCAAAAATAATAACGATATTGAAATTTTTTGCCAGTCTGAATATTAGAAAAAAAGAAACAAACTTTTGATTGAACTTTACTGTATCGTTGACTCACCCCGTATAACTACCCAGAACTTGTCGCTTAGACAAAACGTCAGAACAGTGTGTCAAATGAATGCAAATGTCCTTTACTAAAACATTTACTACTTATATTATTTTAAAATCGATATTAGTATTGAACTTATCAACAAAGAAAATTTTAGTAATCTCGGAATGAGTTTGGAAGTTTTGTGGAAATATCCGTGCCCGAAAAAATTTTGAATGCCGAGAAAATGCCGATGTAACGATTTAAACGCGATCAGTTGAAACTATACATAATATGTATACTTTGCATTAAAGGAACCTTCGTGTCACACAGGAACGGTATTTTAAAATAGGAAAAGCGCACAATTGCGTTTTGTTTATGGTGCTAATAAACAAGCTCTTATTACACGTGCACGTACATTAATAAAGTGTACGGGGTGATCCTTTTCTCATTTCCTTTTTCAGAAAATTTTGAGATATGCGATATGAATGCTTCTAAACTTTGCGCAACCATCACGACAACTGTCCCTTCGCAAATGTTTTTAGTTAAATAGTGTGGTTGTTATATTTTAAACTTCAACTGCAAATATTTAAGATTTGACTTTTAGAACTTTAAAACATTGTGAGAAAATATTTATTTTTTGCAATTGTTAAATTTTATACAAACCGAGTCTTATTTATTATAAAAATGTAAAATAACTTTGCATGAGCTTATTTATTCAAAATATCTGTTGTAGAAATATTGACGACATAATATGGTTCTATTTTATAAATGCTATCTGCTGTACTATATGAAATCATCACCAAAGTATACATAGAATTAGAATTGCTTTTATTTACGCCTCACATTACAATGTGTGGAAGAGTTAACACTTAGCTAGTTAGGTATCAAGATAGGTTTACACAAATGAATTATATCATAAATTAAATTATAAAAACAGCACAAACTGATTTTAAAGCTCTTAAGGGTCTCAAGAGACTTTTATTTCACTAGGCAGTAGATTATATATATATATATATATATATATATATATATATATATATATATATATATATATATATATATATATATATATATATATATATATATATATATATATATGATGACACTATATTCCGGGATATCATCCGTTCGCTCGTTGAACTCCGACTGGAATCCTGCAAATCTTGCATCCGACTGGAATCCTGCAGACGTTTCGCCAAAATCTCACTTGGCATCTTCAATGCTCGCGCTCCGAAAACACTTCGAACACACACACATATATATATATATATATATATATATATATATATATATATATATATATATATATATATATATATATATATATATATATATATATATATATATATATATATATATATATTCTCACGTATTGATTCACGGATGGAAAAATGTGATGACACTATATTCCGGGATATCATCCGTTCGCTCGCTGAACTCCGACCGGAATCCTGCATCCGACTGGAATCCTGCAAATCCTGCATCCGACTGGAATCCTGCAGACGTTTCGCCAAAATCTCACTTGGCATCTTCAATGCTCGCGCTCCTGTTCGAAGTGTTTTATATATATATATATATATATATATATATATATATATATATATATATATATATATATATATATATATATATATATATATATATATATATATATATATATATATATATATATATATATATAATTCAGAAGATTTCTGTCCACACACTCTTGATGATGATGCTTCATAATTTAATATAAACCGGTGTTTGTTTCTGAAAATGTGAATACGAACTTCGAGAATAAGAATACCAACCAAACTGAGGTCTCAGGAAGAGCATGCTGCCGAGGGCTCTCTTCTAGCATTTGCTGCAGCAGAAGAAGACCCAGAGATAGAAAATCCTTTACCTCAACTTGCTTTGTTTTTTGATATTTGTTTTAAATTTCGCAAAAGAAACACAATTCCAATTTAGATTTTGGTCTAATTCCACGGCACTTTGTGCTCTTCAGCCTTAGGTGTTCCTCTTTAGCACCTTTTGTATTAAATGAAAGTTGGTTTCTTTGTTGGTTGGAACCAGATACGATTTGCTTTAATTGTGTCTGTGTGCAAAAGATTTTGACGGAACCACTTGAATAGTTTATCAAGATTTGCATCTATTTTTGGTTCAAGTTGTTTATCATTTAGAAGGTTGAAGATATTAAAGAATACTACTTACATACCGTTGAAGTTTGTGATAATATATAAAGGTTAGTTTTTTAAGAAACTGGCCACATACCTTACAAATTTATATTCTCCTAAATATTCTAAGATAGTGCTTCAAAAAACGGGGGCAACTTATCCAATAATAATACAACAAACATTATTGTAGTATTAGCGTTATATAATGTTCGGTTACAAATGTTAGAAAGTGCAATAAATATAAATCACAAAAGTGCAATTTATTCTCTACATTAACACCGATTAGTGGTAATCGTTTTCGCAAAAAAATGTATCCTTTATGTTTTCGCTGCGGGGGATCCTTTTAGTTTTGCCAAGGTTTACGGCATATTTATCCTCACCTGTTGTTAAAAGTAAATAAAGTTTGTTACGAAGCGGTAGTGTCTGAATTAATTTCCATAGATAAACGTTCGCTCAATTAACTGGCATATTAATAATCTCCGCAGATAACGACCTGCCAATCATTATACGCACGCAAATTGAATTAAATTTGTTGGCGTAATTGTTCATAAAAAAAAAATATGTCAAAGGAAATACATAAAATATTGTAACCGCGCTTTCGTTTCCACCGATAAATCGCTTATACTTATCTAATTTTATTTGATCATAAACGGGTTCTTCGAAGAGCTTTTGTGTTCAGCCAGAAATTTTCTATGAACCGCAAAAAACTATCTACACAGCTGTTTAAATAATGGCAGTACCAAAGAAATTGTTCCGACGTATTGTAATTTTAGGTGTTATATAGAATATCTATAACAAAATTGCTTACAAAAAGTATTACAATATCCATTAGCTTTTTTTACGAAAGTTGGGTTTGGCACTCAAGATTACATATGTTTAGTTGTCTGGTACCCGATCTAATCCGTGCAGCTCCTTTATAGTCTACCGTAGTATTGAAATAAAAGTAAAAAATATCTACCAACCCTACTTATTTCCTGTTTTGGTTAGTATCTTTTTATATAGTTTAAATATTTTTAATTTAAATATTACACAACATAACGCACGCATAGTTTTTTCTTTAGCTATGTTGATTCGGAAAACAATTGTAAAAGAACACGCAAGTTCATATTTAATTTGATTTTGTGTATACTGGGTGACACAAGAAACTGGGAACACTATAAGTTTTACACGGCTTGAGAACGCTTTCAA